ATGTCACAATAACAACAGATGCAAGTAATCTTAGACTACTCATCAGAGTGATATCCTCCACTGGATCCAGCTGCGTGGCGTCTCACGTGGATGTTTAGAATCTGAAAAGCCGCGATCGGCACGTGACCGCATTACATATAATGAGTTGAGACTGGAAAACTGGACATCGCGTTGGTTTAATACGGATTACTTTACCAGAGAATATTTGTTTTGGACGTGACTTACTTCATTTAAAAGTAGACATTTCAAGCTTTCTATACATATATTTCTCATGTCTTTGAGGCAAGTATTCGCGGAGATTCATGTTGTTTTATTTACGTATCTGTGAAGAGAGGTGACAGAGACTGAGACGGCAGAGAACGCACCCTGTTTATTTTCTTTATTTTACAAAAGCATATTGTTTTGTTGTTATTATGACTATACGTATAATAAAAAATATACACAGTGAAGGTCAAGGACACATGATTGAACTTACTGATCTGAACACTGAGACTTGAACAGTAACACACCTTTCTGCCAAACATTCATAGTGTTAACACACACTTCTTTTCTATCTTGTGGTTTTATATGTTATAAAACATTAAACAAGCATCCTGGCGTTGTCAGACAGTTAGACAATGAAATAACACATATTTCAAAATGTTTCACTTGATTTCATTCATGTAGTCAGTAATTATATTTTGGGAAAAGTCTAGTAAAATGTGTACAAGTTATGTCACAATAACACAATAACAACAGATGCAAGTGCTCTTAGACTACTCATCAGAGTGATATCCTCCACTGGATCCAGCTGCGTGGCGTCTCACGTGGATGTTTAGAATCTGAAAAGCCGCGATCGGCACGTGACCGCATTACATATAATGAGTTGAGACTGGAAAACTGGACATCGCGTTGGTTTAATACGGATTACTTTACCAGAGAATATTTGTTTTGGACGTGACTTACTTCATTTAAAAGTAGACATTTCAAGCTTTCTATACATATATTTCTCATGTCTTTGAGGCAAGTATTCGCGGAGATTCATGTTGTTTTATTTACGT